AAAGAATCATCGGCTGTAAAAGAAATTGGAAACATCATGTTTTCTTCCACAAGATGAGAGTATTCGTGAGATAATGAGGGAGAGTTTCTCAGTGTGTATCTTGGTCACTTAGGGATAATTGTTTAAAAACATAAAGATTAATGGGCCCCATTTATTAATCAGAATCATTGGGGTTAGGATGTGGGAATCCTTATTTTTAACCAGTTTCCTAGAAAATTGTGAAGTTTGAGAACTGATGATGAGAAGTGAGACTAGATAAAAGTAGAGGAGGAAACCATGGAGAACCTCAGCTTTTAGAGATTAGATAGAATTAAATAAGTCTGCAAAGGATAACAAGATGAACTAAAATAGTTTTCTAATGAAACCTAAATATTTTCACCTAGAAGAATGAACTAGGGGCTCTTAAAAATTCTTGGTAGGTCAGAAAGGAGTTGAAAATAGGCTAAATTTTTCATCGTTGTCATGAGATGCTGAGACTTGCCACACTAGTGACAACAAATTATAAAGCCACTACAATTAAGATAGTCATTATATCATAACAAAGCTTTTTTTTTTATATTTATGGAAAGGGAAGTTTGAGATTAATCTGGTTTTTAACCAATCATCAAATGCCCTGGGTTGATAGGTAGATGGTGTAAAATACTTGAGGATTATTTTTATTGATGTAAGAATTTAAGAATTTTAAGAATTCAATTAAGAATAAAAGAGACCTGGAGGGGATTCCCTAACCATCTAGACTTAATCTCTAAGTTGTTAATCATACTGATCATATGAACTATTGCTTTTTTAGTATGCTTATGCTTATTCATGAGAGGGTATATGGGTAGTGTATTTCTGAATCCTACACTGCGATAGTAAAGAAAAACCTATGTGGAGAGTTTCCTGAGAGTCATCACATGGGACTTGGCTCTTATTGGCCTGTTGATACTACCAAGTCTTTCTACCATAGTTTGGGATGATAGGTTTTGGCCGTAGAGAACTGCTAATTCCTATTAAAATTTTTTATACCTTTATTGAGGTATAATTGAAGTACAATAGACTGTACATATTTAAAGAATATACCATGAACAGCTTTGACACATGTATGCATCTGTGAAACCATCACTACAATCAAGATAAACATTTTCATCTTTCCCAAAAGTTTTTTCATGTCCCTTTGCAATATATTTCTCCCTCCACTCTTGTCTGCAGGTACTACTGACCCTGTATTCTATTACTGTTCAGTGGTTTGCATATTTTAGGATTTTATATAAATGAAATCACACAGTATGTTCTTATTTTTTGCATGATTTCTTTCACCTAGAATAATGATTTTGAGATGAAAAATAGTTTTTATTGCTGAGTAGAATTCTATTATGAATATACCATAATTTGTTTAGCCATCTACCTTGATGGACATTTGGGTTATTTTCAATTTTGGGGTGTTATAATAAGGCTCCTGTGAACATTGATGTAGAAGTCATATGGACAAATGTTTTTCATTTCTCTTGATAAATACCTAAGATGGTATTTACCATCATAGGTTGGTTGACTCATATGGCAGGAGTATGTTTAACTTTTTAAGGAACTGACTGTTTTCCAAAGTGGTTTCATTTTACATTCACACTAGCAATGTATGAGAGTAAGTCTTTTTAATTTTAGGCAATTTAATGGGTATGTAAGTGGTGTCTAATTATGGGTTTTTTTTTTTGATCATTTATGAATAATGATGTTGAGCATCTGTTCATGTGCTTATTTAGGCATTCATCTATCTTCTTTTGTAAAGTGTCTGTTTACATCTTTTGGCCATTTTAAAAAATTAAGTTGTCAAATTATCGAGTTGTAGTATTTTTTAAAAAATATATTCTAAATAAAATTTCTTTTTCTGATATATGTGTCTTGAATATTTCCTCCTAGTCTGTGGTTTGCTTTTCATTTTCTTAATGGTGTTTTTTTGAAGAGCAAAAGTTTTTAATTTATCATTTTCTTTTATGTTTCATGCTTTTTGTATCCTATTTAAGAAACCTTTGCCTCCCCTAATTGCAAAGATTTCTGTCTTCTAGAAGTTGTATAAGTTTTACATTTAGGTTTAAGACTCATTTACAGTTAACTTTTGTGAATGGGCTGGATGAGGTGGCTCACACCTCACCCTAGCACTCTGGGAGGCCGAGGCAGAAGGATTGCTTGAGCTCAGGAGTTTGAGACCAGCTTGAGCAAAAGTGAGTTGCCATCTTTACTAAAAAATAGAAAAATTAGCCAGGCGTGGTGGCGTGCACCTGTAATCCCAGCTACTTGGGAGGCTGAGGCAGGAAAGTCACTTGAGCCCAGGAGTTTGAGGTTGCTGTGAGCTAGGCTGATGACATGGCACTCTAGCCCAGGTGACAGAACGAGACTCTGTCTCAAAAAAAAAAAAAATTGTGAATGGCATGTGGTAAGGATCAATATTAATTTCTGTCTATTTGTATATCCGTTTGTTAAGAAGACTTTGCTTTCCCTATTGAATTGCCTTGGCACCTTTGTCAAAAGCCAGTTAGTTGAACATAGAGGACTCTCCTTATTCTATTTCATTGATGTTTAGAGTA